TACAATGACAATAAAGAAATTCTGATTCTGACAAGCAGTTGATTATCAAAGAAATACCAATAATTATATTAATATGAGAATACTAGAATAACTAATAAAAACTCATAATACTACTGATAATAAAAGACATTGCTGTTTGCAGCCCTATAGTACTCATGTGATGGAATAATGCCATTTTGCAGAACTGTTTTTCTGATTGTTTAATCATTTGACAGAAAAAATGAAAGCAATTCATTAAAACTTTGCAAGAAATCAAAACTATAAGATATTCACAGTCCCAAAGCAAAAGATGGAGGACTCAGCATAGCTTGTATTTTAATACAATGATGCAGATTTCTACCAAATGTGTAATTAATCAATTTCATTAAGTAAATCTGGGATATTTGGACAGAGATGCATTAATTTGTCCACCTAAGAGGAAATAAATATGGAAGAAGGGTGTTGTAGACAGGGATTCCTGCTGGAGCAAACTGAGTGAAAATGTATATATCAAAAAACAAACAAAAAAACTGAGGACATTTTTAAGACTTAAAATAAAAGGTCATGTTTTGTCACTATCAAAGGAGGAATGAAGGCGTGGTCTGAGAGTGAAGGCCATCCCTCCTCAGGAGAGCTTCTTATAGCCCGAAGAGATCCAACTAAATCTCACTTGTATCCCACCATCAAAAAATGCATCTCCTCACGCTGATCCTCGGGACTGTGCTTCTCCCTGAAGGCAAGTTTTTATTCTGTTATCTGTTTCCTTTCTTGTTGTTCTTCTACTTTTCTGTTTTGCCTTTCTGATGCCACTGAAGATTGTCATGTCCCTGCAGCCTCGGCCCCTGCTGCGCGCTCTCTGGCGCGCTCTCTCTCTCTCTCTGGCGCGCTCTCTCTCTGGCGTCCCAGCACGCGGGCAGGTGTGTCTGGTTATCAATCTGCGGATTGTGGGGATTGGTCCGCTCCAGCTGCGACCTCCGGTCTGCTGGTATTTCAGCTCCGGCCAGACAATGCTCCAGCGCCACGCCGTCGAACCATTCACCGGTTCTGCCACCAT